CCGGCCACATGACCACGGAAATGTCTCCGGACAGCGCTGGCTCTTCGGCTTTGAAATGGAGATGAGCACCACAACCCTAGAGTCGGATTCGACTGGCTTTCGAGCAAGGGGAACCTTTACCTTTAGCCCTTCTATTGCAGGCCAACATGGCTATCTTCCTGAACCTTTGCTTGGGATGGCACTGTAATCGATGGAACCTCTCTCGAACATGTTTCAGTGTTACACATTTTTTGGCGGGGGTGTCAAATATGTAACAGTTCAGATGCATTAATGTGTGCATGGATTAGACTAAACACAATGGTCAATCCAATCTAGCACATCTCTTCCTGTACAAACAAACCACTACTTACATTAGTACAAGAAATAATATTTTCAAAGTAAAAGCAACACACATAATTAGAGCGACTTTATTTTGAAGGCTTAAGAAGGAAGCAACATAGTTCACTCTTCCGTTGAGTAAATTTGAGCTTTATTAAAATACAAGTATTTCAGCATTGCATAAACATTTGTACCCCTTATGATATGTAAAAGAGATACTTCAGTGCTAACAAGACCAAAGCAACATTCATTTTGAAAGTGTCTTTGTCTTAATGTGCTGTTTGTAATAATCATATATAATCGGTGATGTATGAATATATCAGCAAAAGTAGATCATAGAATAGGGAAAGTGAATTCATTCAAAATCTTCTATGTTTGAGATACAGTTCAAGGCCCTTTCTCTGTAATCTTCAGAGTTACTAGACGGTTTCAAGAAGACTGCTACTGCTCTCTACAGTTTAAATGCATCCACTTCTTAATTACAGTAAGTAATTGACTTTGTTCTGCTCCGTCCCAGACATTCAGAGGGAAGCCGTTCCAAAGGCTTTGGCTTGGTGAATTAGATTAAATTGTAGGTTTTCTGGCCCATTTTTAAATATTTCCTACTTAGAATTCCTGATTAAGAGTTCTTGGAAAGGATTCTTAAAACCATATTTGCACTTTGAACAATAAAAATTTTAATACCATTCGGAAAAGACTACAGGGAAACAAATGCCAGATTTGGCTCAAAGTTTTGAACAATCTACAGTTGCAGGCCTAAATAGTGTATAACCAAAACCAAGCATCAATGGCACCATATTAAGTAATTTTGCACTTATCAAGCTAGGCCGGAATAAGCAAAAGGACTACAGAAATATCGAAGGGAACATGAAAAACTCTCTTTGAAAAAGAAGCTGCCCTCCATGTTGCTTTTCATTGTATTCTTATTTAATATTCACAAAACTACCCTGCCTTTAAGAAGCACATCATTTTTCAAGGCACCCGCTCTCAGAGATACAGCCCATTTTAGAATGACAGTAGTTTCAGTAGTACAACAGCTAAAACTAATGAACGACTTGCACAGTTCTCTAACTTTCATTTAGGCAGGTGGTTATGACTGAATTTTCCTATATCTTACTTCTACCTCTGTCAGTGACCCAAAACATCTGGGGGGGGGGAGCTTATATCAGTGGGCTGGATCCTGAATTCTAACATCTGAAAGGGTCCAGAAATGTTGGTAACAGGGTACTGATATCTATCTTATGCAAGCTAGTCATCATGTTAAGTCATTCACAAGCTGACACATATCACTAAAATGGATTCAAGCATTTAACAATGCCCAAATCTGGATTTGTGATCCTTGGCAATTTCACCAGTTTTATTAACTTTGCTTTTGGCCCTGGATCCCTTAACCCCCCCCCCCCAAACACACACACATACATATACACACCAAGACGACACACAGGGCGGGAAGGAGAAAGTACAGTGTATGGGGTTACACACAATGAAACACAATGCAGAAACTGAGCAATGATGTGACTATACACAGGAGGGCTTCACCTGCTCTCGTTTACTCCACCCTCTCCCTTTTTTCCAAAGGAGGGGGAGAAAAGTAAAGCAGGCTGGGAGAAAGGTAGTTAAACCAGACAAATCACCTAATGCTGCTTCCCTCACTGAGTTTCACTGAAGCACTTCATAGCTGCGGTTCACACACTAAATAATCCACTTTCAATCCACTTTCACTGCACTCTCCAACAGGATTTTGCCAGTCCACACAGTAAGGGTGCGGTCACAGGTTTCGCCGTTGTTCCCTCCCGCGTTTAAATTTGCTGACTAGAAAGACCGATCCGCCTCCCATGGTGAAGCCGGCTCACTCGCGCAATGTTCGCGTTTTTTACTGCCCCTTTGGAAAATCAAGTGTTTTCCTTGTACTCGTGCTTTGAACGCTCGATTTCGCCTATCTGGACAGCCATCTATCGCAATGGTTGCAATTAGGGCCATCTGACCATTTTCCCCCACTATTTGATTTTTTCCCCCAGGCTTCTGCCTTTGAGCGCATGGGCAATTCACCATTTAAACATTCAGGCGCATGGGCCAGGCGGAGGAGCAAAGTCCTCTGCAAGGCGCTCCCGGTGACAATGGCTGCTGCTGCTGCAGGCTTCAGAAGGGAGGGAAGGTGGAAGAGGAGGTGGTGGCAGTGCAGGGAACACGAGGCAGCGGTTTTGTGCGCCCTTGGGTTTGGCAGTAGCTGCGGTGGGCTTCTGTAGAGTGGACCCTGCTGGGATCTCGGGGCCATTGGTCTTCACCAGGCTTTTCCCCTGCTGGGAGAGATTCAGGAAGTGCCGCTGAGTCCTCAAGCTGTCTCCTGGGCCACTCGGGTGGGCTGGCAGGCGAGTGGGCAGGCGGCGGAGAGAGGGGAAGGATTTTCAGGTGAGCGGGTGGTAGAAGAGAGGGGCCGGCTGCATCTAAACAGCCCAACCGAAGAAAAATATTCCCGATTAAATTAAAGCGGGAACAAAGCGGGATTACCTTGCCCGTGTGACCACAGCCTAAAATCCAGTTGGAAAGTGCAGTGAAAGTGAATTGAAAGTGGATTATTTAGTGTGTGTGACCACAGCCCTTGTCTGCATTCTCTCTCTACTTTCTCCCTTACTCTTTCCTATTTGAAACAGGAGGAAAAGAACAAGGACCACAATCACAGAAAGCAGTAAACTCCAATCACCTCTGACACCTGAAATTCTGAGAATGATAGGGTTCTTCTTCTTCTTCTTCCTCTTCTTCTTCCTCTTCTTCCTCTTCTTCTTCCTCTTCTTCCTCTTCCTCCTCTTCTTCCTCTTCCTCTTCCTCTTCTTCTTCCTCTTCCCCTTCTTCTTCTTCCTCTTCTTCCTCTGCCTCTTCTTCCTCTTCTTCTTCCTCCTCTTCTTCCTCCTCTTCCTCTTCTTCTTCTTCTTCAGTGATTCATTTAAAAAAAAACACCTGTTATTTCCCATAATCATCAAATCAAGCTCCCAACATGCTCAGATGTCCTCATGGCAGAGTAAACAAACCACCACTGGCTTAACTCTGAAAATATGGTGGCTTTAAAAAAATCCCTTTGGTCAGGGAATGGGGAAGAACAAAAAGCTACATTGCCATAGTCCATGCGAACAGAAACAGCTTAGAAAACATGAACAGTCTAGAAGCAGCTTTGATGTCAGCTGCTGTTTTCCCTCCTCCCTCTCCCTTATAATTTGGTAAATTTGTGGAAGTGTGGGAAATGGGGAGTGGAGGGAAACTGGCAGCTGAGACAACTGGCACGGAGCCATTTTGAACTGAGGTGAAATTCAGTAAGGGCTTGAATTGGAATGATTCAGAGATTTCCAAAATGGGAAAGTAACATGGCAATCCCATGCAGGGTTGCTCCAGTCTAAGCCCTTTATTTCTAAAGTAATTCGGCATTGGATTACACTGCTAGC